ATCATCTTAGACACCTTAACAAATAGAACATAATCCCTTTGTCCAGAACATCAAACGGGCATGGTACTTAGAGACCAGCCTTGGGAGGTGCTGAGCGCCCTTGCCTACTATTCCCGACAGTGGGAGCAGAATGTGCTTGCATCGGGGGGGGGGGGGGAGAAAGCGAAGCGATCTGAGTGTGTATGTATGAGAAATGTTAGTGCAATAGCAAATGCTAGCTTAACATCATTGCATAAGTGGATATCTCAAAGATTCCTGGATTACCCCTATGGTGGTCGCTATAAATATACTCAAATTAGACAACACAATTTCTTGTTTTTATCTAGGTGCTCCCTAAAACCAACCTCAAGATCAATTCACAAGGCTGTATGTCAGACTTGTATTCGGTTTCTGCGGGCTTAACCTTGTCAGCTCATTTTTGAAGCATGGCAAAGTGGTCATCGGAACATCCCAGCCACCTGCCCATTGGTTTCATCGCCAAAAATGGCAGGGCAGTTAGTGGGACATGGGCAAACAGTAGAGTATTCTGACAGCTGCTTGTCTAAAGGCTGGATAGGAAGCATGGGTTGAATGTAAGACCCCACCCCCTGGTGATGCAATTTGGCCCTTGAAACACATGTCTTCCTCAAACAGTCACGAAAGCACATGCCACAAAAGTGGCTAGATCTTTTCACCAGAACTAGCCTCTCCCTGCTATTCTGTACACGGAGAGCATCATCATGTGCACACAGGTCCAGTGGGGTTCAAATAATGTATGCTGTGCTATCTCCATACAGCTCCATAGGAGCCACCTGAATGCCTACTGGTGGGGTGCAGGATTCTGGAAAGAGGATGAGGGAGCTGCACAAGCAGAACTGTTGATATTGTGATCCAGTCCTGCACCAGATAGACCCCATGTGATTTGGCTGCCTCTTTCCACTTTTCCTGCCAGACTCTCCCATGCCAATACGTAAGCAACATGACAAAATAGAGGCTTTCACCCCTTTGGACTTGAAGGCTGGATTGCGCTCCATATTTGTAAATTGGGTAAAAATGTGCACATTTGTCTACCTTTTGGACCAAATCACTTTCATTCATGGCCTTAATTAGTATTAGTGTTGGCTTGAGGCTAAGAGTTTGACCTCAGAACCCTGTTTTATATCTCACCTCTGCCATGGACACATTATATAATCTTTAAGAATCTTTCAGCATCCCTCAATATGCATCTGCAACACAGAGTAATAATAAATAATAAATAAAATAAAATAATTGTCCAGTAGCACCTTAGAGACCAAATAAATTTGTTCTGGGTATAAGCTTTCATGTGCATGCACACTTCTTCATGCTACTGGACAATTATTTATTTTATTTATTTATTTTATTTCGTCTACGGCAGACCAACATGGCTGAACAGAGTAATAATGTCTGTCTGCTTCACAGGGTTGTTGTTAGGTCCCCATAGATGATGTTTAAGAAGTGCTTTAGTCACAGAGAAAGTGCTGTGTAAATAACAGCGATTATTGCTGCTGCTACTGGTGCTGCTATTAAATTTATGGGCATTGAAGTTATTGGTTGTTGAGATTTCTTATTGAGCACTGGAAATGCCCTAACGCTGTAGCTTAGAGAAGACAGAGAAAGGATTTCTAGCATAAGGGTTTTTATTTCAAAGTTGATTTTATTTGGCAATTTTTGGAAAGAAAACCATCAACAGAATCTTGCTTCTGATATTTTAGAATTTTGAAGTGAAATCAGTATTATATCAGCTTGGCTCTCTTTTCGTATTGTTGATTGACAGAACTGAACTGATTATTGTGAAGGTTCCAGTTGCACCTTAGGGTGTCTTACTGACTTTGTTTTGATCATTGCTTATTTTATGGAAACTACTCTGGGGTTAATTTTGACCCAGATTGGTATAAGAAAAACCTAATGAAATAATGAAATATAATTTAGCATGGCATTACTATTATCATTATTACAGTAGGAGTGTCCCTGTCCCGTCCCCCCCATCCCCGGTTTTTCCTTTGCAATTGCAGTTGTAAATTTTGCAGTGAAAAATTATGAACCAAAAAATTAGCATATCTAAGGGTAAAGGGGGAATTCACAAGGTGGTTTCCACTCCAGTTAAAACACACAAGGTAAAAAAACAACAACCCATGAAACAGAATATCAGTATTGTTCCTGGAAGCCAGGGTTGCACATTGTTGCCAATGGCAGCTAATAGCCCAGCTTTAAAGAGCTGTGTTAGCTGCCAACTTTCCAAGGTGCAAACGGACAGTTGCTTGCTCCACAACTAAAGCAATCTTCTGTTCTTGGTGAACTAGGAAGAAGAAGAAGAAGAGTTTGGATTTGATATCCCGCCTTTCACTCCCTTTAAGCAGTCTCAAAGCGGCTAGCATTCTCCTTTCCCTTCCTCCCCCACAACAAACACTCTGTGAGGTGAGTGGGGCTGAGAGACTTCAAAGAAGTGTGACTGGCCCAAGGTCACCCAGCAGCTGCATGTGGAGGAGCGGAGACGCGAACCCGGTTCCCCAGATTACGTGACTACCGCTCTTAACCACTACACCACACTGGCTGGGTCTGTACGTGCGAGGGAAATCCCTATTAAATTCCTATCAGTAAAAAGGTAATGCAAACTTCCTTGTAGCAAAGCTAGCAAAGTTAAAAACTAAAACAAAAAGCATATTGTGTCACCTTAAAGTTTATCCAATTTATTACAGCCAAAGCTTTCATCTGATTCATGAAGTGCAATCCTAAACTGGCAGGCAAAGATGAACGTGGCGGAAAGGTGCAGGCAGGCATCATTCCATAAAAGCCAAAATAGTTGCAGGAACCAATAACAAGGCGAGGATGGCAGAAAACTGGGAGGACGGGTTATGGAAACCAAGCGATTGAGATCCTGAAGGGTGATCGCTCCACACTGCAATATTTTGTGGCAGCACCTACCAATGGTTTTTAACAAGGGATGTTTTGAGGGAAAACTTCACTGACGAGCAACGCAGAGAACTTGACAGCAGAAGATCAGGGCATCAGGTTGCAAAAGAGAGCTTCCATCACAAGCACACACTGTGCTAGGGAAGTCATATCTCATTATGAAACACGGGGAAAGATGTATAAGGAAATAAAACGACCTTTTCTTATTACTTTGTATTCACTTTATTCCCTCACCCCTGGCAAGCTTTTATTTTATTAATAATAAAAAATAGTGCCCTGGATAATACTATAAAAATGTTTGTGCTGCAGTAGGCATGAAGCTAGTTCTAAGCCCTGTTTCTACAGCCGGACAGAATAGCTGGACAAGCTTTTTGTTTTTGGTTTTTTTAAAAAAAAGATAGGATGAGCATGAATTAATCTTCTAAGCATTATAATATGCACTGATTAGTCCTAAAAGAAGGCTGCACTCAGGACAGTCAGTGCCCATTTCAATAGACGGGACTGTTTTCATCTTCTGAATGTTTGCCATGAGTAAGCTCTACTCACTCTTTGTGATAAAATCCAACAAAGCATGTTCATTGTGATCAACTACATCAGACATTTGGAAATTCTGAATATGGCAAGGATCTGAGTGGGATATACAGTGTTTCCTCAGGGTTTCCAGCTGTTTTTGGCCAACAGTTCCTATCCTCCCTGACCGCGGGTCCTGCTAGCTAGGAATGATGGAAGTTGTAGTCCAAAAGCAGCTAGAGACTCAAGTTTGGGAAACACTGATGTAGCACAATACTGTGGCATAAAGTTTTTCATTCTCAGCTTCCTGAGTAACTTAGCCAGCTGTGGCTGTAATGGCTTGTAGTACTGTCCATTCTCTCTCTCTCTCTCTCTCTCTCTCTCTCTCTCTCTCTCTCTCATATATGAGATTAATGCAGGTGTCATGTGATTTACAAAATAGTAAAAAGGGCCTTGTCTCCACTATCAAAAACATCTAGAAAGTGAAGTTGGCTATAAAGAGAGATCTCATGTGCCATTCTTCAGCCATGGGCTCTGCAAATGAAATGAGAGATGCCCATATTGGAGAAATGAATGTTGGTTCAGCTACCAGTGTTGTCAATCCACCAATTTGGGTGGATTGTCTATCTTTTTTTTATTTTCAAAAGTGGTGCATGCCTATTCATGAGTTTATCCATTCCGTCATTGCAGTATTGTTTAACAAAATAAACTTTCAAAAAGAGCAACACTGTACCGGGGATTGGGTAGAAGGCTCACAGGGTGGAGAAGAGAGCAGAGATCACCAGGGCCATGCAAATAGTAAATTATTTGCAAGTAGTTTGCCTCCCTTTGCTAGTAACTAACAGGCATAGTGTGCTTCAGGCATAGTGTGCTTGTTAGGCTTGGGGAACTACAGATCTGGAAGGTAAATATGGCCTCTAGACCCCTCTGCAATATGGCCCTCTAGACCCCTCTGCATGGTCAAGGATTCTTCCCATGTCACACCCCTTACTGACCACTTCTTCTCTGCCTGGATGTGTGTGCAGAAAACTGTGAATTGTGCATGGTTTGAATGTAGCCTATTGCGCTAAGAGAATAGTTGCTCCACCCTCTTTTTGCTTACAGCCACAGCTGGCATGTAGACTCCTGAGGGAAGGCAACCTTCAGTCTGAGAAAGGTTCTCTGCCTCTATTGAAGCGCTTGGGCTGAGGCAAGATGCGGGCCAACATTTTCTCATAAATATCCTGGTACATTCCGCTCTTATTTTTAAAGGTCAAATAATAATAATAATAAAAGAGGAGGAGGAGCACCAAATTTACAGCTGTTAGTTATAAACATGACAGACTGCTGCTTATGAAGGAACAGAGTTCAGCAGCTAACTCTAAATTAATGACTGTATCGGGTGGTATAATATTAATGTTAATAAGCAATACCAATTCCACATAAGGTTGCGAATACGCACACCCGTTATGAATTTGTAACACCCACGCATTTTACACCAATGCCAATCTATAGTGTATTCGTAATTAGTTCCATAAAGCAAACAGTAAAAAGACAGTGGAGAATCTCATGTCACATTGGTACAAATTACTCTGACCTTTCCCAGTCTTTAAAGGAAGAGCAGTCATCCTTCTTTAATTCACTGGCCCTGCGATGGAGCCTCCAATGGAGGCCTATTCGTCACGTTGTGTTTTTCTAACCAGGAACATGTTTCTTATCACATGAGCTGGGCAGGGCTTTCCCCTGTATTTCCACTCTCCCCCTCCTCAAAGCCCAACAGTGTTTTATTGACCAGCCTCCTTGCTTTAGACTTGAGCTCGTGTTCTCTGAGGAAGTACAAGTGGTAGTTACGCAAGTCTTTCCTTCTCTGCCTTGGCAACGTTCGCCAGGGAAGATTTACAGCCTTCACCTTTCAGATATAGAGGAATTGGTTGTTTAACTTGACTGAGAATAATTCTGACATGGGAAACACTGTCAGAATTTAAACAGATCCTCCAAGAGCCAGTCATCTGGAAAGGCCTGCGATTTAACAATCACGCTGTCTTCTTTGTATTTCCATGGCATAATTGGCTAGTGACACCCTGATTTTGAAACTGATTCTGAGGCTCAGCTCGCTGACTTTTGACCTGGAATTAGCGGGGCAGGAGATATGGAAACAATATGGCACTTGGACCAGAAGTGAACAGTGGAACAAATGGGTATGAATTATTTTATTTAGTAAAACTAATTGCTGCCACAAGCACTCCAATTGCTTTAACTGTTTTCATATATGCAGCTGTTTCTTACGTGTTTTCATTGTATTTGTGTATCACTTTGGAATGCCTCATGGGAAGTGAATCATTGATGATGATGATGACGATGATGATGATGATAGACTTGATCCCCTTGTTGTTTGCAGTCTTCAGTTCAGAACAGTGAGGACAAATAACACAAGTCTGATGATTTGAAGCTTTTTACAATCAAGTAGTACATACGTTTTATGAAATAAATATGAAAAAAAATGTCCCTCCCATACTTTGGAGTGAGGCTTAATATAGGCTGATCCAGCCCTTCCATTTTCTAACATTCACCCTCAGATTCCCAGTCTCCCACTCTCAGATCTGAAAACTCCTTACAGGAACCAGCCCTAACACTGGGCAGAGTGGGGAGGCTGGCTGAAGCAGTTTCTGCTGAGCCACATGGAAGTTATTTCATTATTGTTGCATTTGTTATGGCCAGAGAGGTAAGGCAATGGTGGTGCTTCAGATACCAAAATAACGTGACAGGCCTTGGGTACGCTAAACCTTGAACTGCAGGTGAGGACGGTGCCATTTGCTGCTTTGTCGCATGCAGCAAAATGGGTTGCTGGCACCCAATGAGTTTCCGGGCTAAGAAGAGATGTGAAACCAGATCTCATTGCTCTTAATGGATAATCAGTAGCAGACAATCATTTCTCCTACACAACACAGTCATTTTACTTTTCTTATTAAAAATATGTGGCCTATAGGAATTTGAGGTGTCCCCCCTCCAATGATAGACCACACAGAGAAAGCTATTGCTGGACTTCCACTTCCATCATCCTTGAACATTGGGACATGCTGGCTGTGGCTGATGGGACAAGGAGTCAAACAACACCTGGAGAGCACTGTGTACCCCATCCCTGACTAAACAGGGGATGAAAGGGGAGAGGGAGGAGGAGGAGGCAGCAGTGGTGGCAGAGGCGGTGGTGGGTGGAACCGCTTTCTCTGCCATGAGGTCCAGATCTGTCACCTACTTCATGAGCCCTGGTCCAAGAGGCTGTCGTACTAGTTTATAAACATTTACAAGAGGCGCAATTTGGGGCCATCCAGAGTGAACCTGGGGCATTCCAAAGGCCTCTAGCCTCATGATCTCCATATACTTGTTTCCCCTAATTGGCTGAGGCACCATCTGGAGTTGGATGATTGTTCATCATTGTGTCATGAGGCTGAAGACCTGCTGTGGCCGTTAGCTGCCAGAACATCTGGAGCCCACTTAGTTCTTTGGGGTGGGGACCTGGAGCAGTTTTTTAAACAGCTGGACATACGGCTTCTTTGCCCAGCATTGTGTTTATCCAAAGTTGTTAGATTTCTCTCACAAGACCCTTTGATACAGCTGACAGAGGAGCGAGTGCTTCTAGGTTCCAAACTGACGCATCACAGACATTGACCTTAGATCACCTTCATGGATAGCATATAAACACATTTCTTAACAAATGGTTGGATGGCTGCAATTTCACACTAAAAATGCTGCAGTTCCTGAAACCAGAAAGCTGTCTTACTATTGAACTAATTTCTATCACTTGTCTCAGTGTCTCTGAGGTACTAATTTATCCAACCATTTATCCACCCATGAAATGTACTCCCTTTTTGTTCTGTACTTCATGTGTTTGTTTATTTATTTTGCTTTGGCCTTTTTTTCAGCCCAAAGGAGCGTTCTATGGCAGTCTACCAATATATTTTCTACATATGCTCAATCTCATTACACAATTTGCCTCTTGGAAGACTTGTAAATTCTTCTTTCTTTGCCAGGAATTGTGGGAGAACAAGTGAAAGCGATTTCACATAAGAGCAGCTTTGCTGCATCAGACCAAGAGTCCATTTAACCCAGCATCCTGTTTCCAGAAGTGGCTCTCCAGATGCTTCTGGGAAGTACACAAGAAGGACATGGAGCCAGCCGTCTTCATTCATCCCCCTCAATCACCTGCTATTCAGAGGTAGACCGCTTCTAAACATGGAGGTTCTAAGGGTTCAGGTAAGTAAGAGGCAGTGCATAAATAGGAGGTAGGATGCCCCATTCTCCAACAGCTAGAGAAGCGCTAAAGTGGTTTCTACACCATTAGCAAAAGTTAGCCATGCATTAGCTGGACTTTCTTTACAATATAAGGGTAACAAGCATTACTTACATACACACACACACACAGAGCGAGAGAGAGAGAGAGAGAGAGAGAGAGAGAGAGAGAGAGAGAGAACGTCTCAATAATTTGTGGGAGGAACTGATTCCACACCAAAAGCCAGATTTTTGGGAATTATTATTATTATTATTATTATTATTATTATGCCCATCTGACTGGGTTGCTCCAGTCACTCTCGGGGGCTTCCAACAAATTAAGCATGGTAACATCAAACATTAAACATCAAACATTAACAACTTCCCTATACAGGGCTGCTGCCCTTCAGATGTCTTCTAAAAGTCAGATAGTTGTTTATTTCCTTGACATCTGACAGGAGGGTGTTCCACAGGGTGGGCACGACTACCGAAAAGGCCCTCTGTATGATAAGCACACAGAAAGCTCTTTACAATCCAACTTAAAAAGAGCTGCAAAACCATATAAATTATTGACTGTTACTAAAAGAGAAAGTCTCTCTCCTCAGAGAGATATAATTCCCAGAGTTCCCTACGAAGAGCAATTGATTGTTAAACCGTGTTGGGACTTGTAGCAATGTAAGTGCAATGGGGATTTTGTAACAATTCTCAACACCCTAAGCAGAGAATAGTTCCTAGGATTTGGGGGTGGGGTGGGACAACCATGACTGTTTAAAGTGGTATGATAGTGCTTTAAAGGTACAGTGTGGATGGGACTATAGCTACAGTGTTGTATTCCAAAACTGAAGAACCTCACCTTCTATTTGAGGTTCATTGCAGTCATGCTTGTGATCTATGCCAGGCATGCAGATCCATTATTGGACACAGATGTTTGCTTTGTCTCCTTGCAGGACTTGATGCTTCACGATAGCATTTCCATGCACAAAATCAGACTTCACTCACAGGTCCCTATTGCTGCATCATACTCAGTTCTTAAATTGAACGCTACAACACATTGTTCAGAAAGAAACCAGATTTATTTGATGAATATAAACGAGCTGATCAACACCAAGCACTTCTCATACACATGATAACAATGTTATGAATTCTAAATACCTTGGTACTTTACACTTCTACGAGACATTAAAATTACAATGACTGTTCTAAAACATGCCCACTGGTAATTTCTAAGGATTCCTTAGTTTCATATCAATGTCCTTAATCACATGTCAAGATCACAATCCAGAACATGCCACTCACTTGGAGAAAATTATTACAAGAAGCACTATCAAATGAGGGTCAAAGGTAAATAGGGAATGCTGACCCATTGTTGCAGAACATCACATTCAAACAATCACTCTACACCAAAGGAAAATGCAGGTATAGGTTGTGACACATCTGAAATCTTTTCATAAACACTGTTTAAAAAGGAAATTGAAACCCACTTTCAAATGAAAGTCAATGTGCATTTACGTGCATACTGGATACACAAAATTCATTTAAATACAAAATTCATTCTGTACATTTAAATGAAAGAATGTGCAGTACAAGTTTGATCCCACAGTAAAATAATACTCATCTTAAATGTTAACCAAAAGGCTTGTTTGACTTTTTTACATTTCAAGGGGGAAGAAATCTACCAAACATTGCTCGAATAAAATGTTTGCCCAACATCACAGTGTTTATTGTAAACCCCGAGATTCTATTTTAGTGTATGAAAAGATTCCCCCGCCAAACATCATAGTATATATCATGTGAAATGGGAAAAAGCAATGTTAGACAAAATTTTCTTCTGTAGAGGCTAAGTCTTAGGCTTTGATAAAAGTTAGGTTCAATGCTCTTACCAACATGAAAGGAGCAAAAATAAAACAAAAATGCCCCCAAAATAATATCTGTGACAAAATTGGCACATACATATAAATATCTAACTATACAGTTTTGTTTTTAAGGACCCTATGTTTCCCTAGTTTATTTCCTACTTCAAGTATTCAGTTGCAGAATTAAGGTAAAGACCTGACTGTAAGAGACACAGAAGGCACAATCTTCCGCAAAGCTCTCTTGCACAAGCCCCGATGGAAAGAATGGGAGCTCTGCAACAGCTCATATCCTAGTCTTCCTCCTTTCAGTTCAATGGAGATTGTGCAAAAGAACATCCCAGTGGACTGTGCCCAGACAGCCATCCCTTACTAGGACAACAACTTTGTCAAAAGTAACACGTTTTGTTGTCCAAGTTCACAAGTGCAACATTTGTCATATGTGCTAAAGAAACTCCCAGGAGCTTTCCATTTTAAAATGAACAAACAAACAAAACAATCAAACAAACAAACCCAAGGTTCAAAACCCCATTGAAAGTCAAAGGACAAACTTTTAAAATATAAATGAATATGGATAATCTATGCTATACATATTTTATACAGATTTATTATTCCATGTATTGAATTGAATTAACATTGAGCAGAAATTCTGCTTGCATTCACTGGCTCTTCAATTTCATCGAGAACGATGGTGCAACCAACTAATAAATTACTCTTTTCTAGGGAAATAATAATTTCCAGGGGGTTCATATGTATGGCTCATACTGGATGATCAAGATTAATTGCACCAACCATTCAAAAATAATGATATATTTCTAAATTAAGTGCAAGATTTTATGAATATCCTGTTCAAAAACTGTTTTTTTCCACAGCAGCAAAGAAAGAACGAAAGAAAGAAAGAAAGAAAGAAAGAAAGAAAGAAAGAAAGAAAGTACCAAGAATTAAGGCCACACATGTTTAATTTTATGGGGGAAGGCCAATCCACCTAGCATTTCTGCTCCACGACATCCATTCATTTCAACAAAGCCCAGCTCACATCTTATTAAAATGAATGGAGGTTTCATAACAGAAGGTGTCTGGTGGATTGCACATGTTGTTTGCTTCTAAGAAGTGCAGATAAGTCAATATCCACTTACAAGCCTGTAAGTGCCCCTCTCACTGACAAAAAGATATGCCAGTCACAGGACTGAGCTCTTGTTATGAGCACGTATGCCAGATGGAACGAAAATGCTCACTAAGGGAAGACCCTTACTTTGGGGAAACAGCAGATAGTTCAACATCAATAATAGTCTGTCACTATACATAATAGCTCCAGGGCTCTCCCCACACACCTGTCTATTCCCCTGGCATGTGTTTTTAACATGTTCACATTTATTATATTTTGCTGGATGATAGAGATAATTTTCAATTATCTATTCGTTCATCGATGCTTCTTTGTTTAACATCTAAAATACATTATAAACCATGGTACGTATTGTTTCCCTGTTCAGAAAACAATGAGGAAGGGTCCCTTACCATAAAGGAGACCCAATGCATATATTTAATAATCACAACATTCTTTTGAATTAGAAAAAAAATCAAGAGTCCCAGCTTTTATATTAAATACTGTTGTGCATCTGGATGATAAAAGTTTGATGCATCTTCATAGACGCTCGTATACAAGTATAGATTCTTGCGTCAAGCTTTTATCTTCCAGACATACATCAACCACTGTATACAAATAATTGCTAATCGTTTTAGGCTGCAGTCCTACACAGTTACCTGGGAGTAAGCCCCACTGAACTCTATGGGACTTACTTCTGACTAGATATGTATAGGATTGCACTGTTAGATGCCCCATGCATTGTCAGAGACACACACCATATTTTCATACGCCAACAGATATTAGTAGTAAAAATTGATTTCATTTCCAACCTGGCCCAGAGCTTAATATTGGTTGCATTATCAAAATGGCTTGAGTAACAGTAAAGAAACAGAGGAGGGCAAAGACTTTGTTTTTATTACCCTGAAAAGCCCACGTTACTGGGGGTATGACTAATGCCGACACCATTATGAAACAGCTTGCTAGTCCCTGTAATAATCTAGTGCTTTAGAAGTGATACTTTAGAAGAAACTAACCAGAAACAGCAGACAACGATACTGCAGCTAATGGAACCTCAACTACAGATTAAAATTAATACAAATCTGTCAAATTAAAGATCCCACTTTAATTAACTTCATTTAGTAATGTTCAGAACAGATGGTAACTCAGTTTTCTTTTTTAAAAAAATATTTCTGGAATAATTCATACGACCCCGTTAAAGGAAATGAAGTTCTTCTAATTCCCAATCAAGTCCCCTTAATTGTTTTCCAAAGTATCTGACTTCGTAACGTATTACAAGAAATAATGGAGAAGGACACCCGTTTGTGCAGCTTATTGTTTGATGGCAACCTTCATGTGCCCCGCCCACTTCTGTGATCTTTTGGGGGTGGAGCTCCAAGAGTGGTGACTGCATTCAGATCCCCACTGCAGCAAATCATCCTCTTCTCTCTCGTCTCTCATTGTCCTGCAGTGCTGCCTTGCGTTTGCTTCTTTCTCCAGCTCCTCTTGATAACTGCAGCAAAACAAGAAGCCATCCAAAATGGTGAGCTCACATAGTTTCTGGACCCAGTTCAGGTCAGCAAAGGCTTCCTGCAGCCACACTTTCATTTCACTTTTTATTGTATTGTTTCTGTTTGGTCAGATGCCATCTTGAGTAGTTTTAGAGAAAGGTGATGGGTAGACGATTAAACAGACAAAAGGAATATTTCACCAGTCTAACTGTGGAGGCTCCTGATCTAAAGTTATCTGCAATGGAGATGCATATAGAGCGGTAGTCTGCTTTTTCATGAAGAACCTGAAGTGGGTCACATTATCCCTTCTACCAGCAAACTGGAGCTATCTCAGTAGGAAGGCTAAGTTTCAGGTACTGGGTTGCAGCCAACAAAAATAATGCATGAGCAGTATTATTTCCACTCATGCAATGGAACTTACTCTCCCTCTCCTTCCTCCCAATACAGCCTGTAAGGTAAAGGGACCCCTGACCATTCGGTCCAGTCGTGACCCACTCTGGGGTTGCGGCGCTCATCTCGCTTTATTGGCCGAGGGAGCCAGCGTACAGCTTTCGGGTCGTGTGGCCAGCTTGACTAAGCCACTTCTGGCAAACCAGAGCAGCGCACGGAAACACCGTTTACCTTCCCGCCGGAGCGGTACCTATTTATCTACTTGCCCTTTGACGTGCTTTCGAACTGCTAGGTGGGCAGGAGCAGGGACTGAGCAACGGGAGCTCACCCCGTCGCGGGGATTTGAACCGCTGATCTTCTGATCGGCGAGTCCTAGGCTCTGTGGTTTAACCCGCATCCCTAATATAGCCTGTACACCCCCTCAAAAAAAACCAACAAAAAACCAACACCCCTGCTCTGCGGGGTTCCTACAACCCCTGGAGGAGGAGGAAAGGAAGCTGCATTGAATGAGCAGAAGTCATTCTACTTGTCGAATATTCTTGGGATTCAGCCCATGTAATAATAATAATAATAATAATAATAATAATAATAATAATAATAATAATATATTATTTATACCACGCCCTTCCCGGTTCAGAAAACTGGACTCAGAGCAGCTAACAACAAATTTAAAACACTTAATTGTGATACAACAAAAAACAGTATAAAATACAGTATAAAAGAATGAATAACAATAAATTTAAAGTTCTAAAATCAATTTAGGGGAAAATCCACCCAATAAACATTAGATGATCACCAGGGGTAGCTGGCTAAATTAGTCCTATCTGGGCCAGCAAGGAAGCCAGGGGAGAATTAGCTGTGGGATCCCAGAGCGGGTAATCTTCATAAAAAGGGGAGGGGGAGGGAAGGAATGGGAATAAAAGATCAGGCTAAATTCAAATTGAAAGTGGTGTAGGAAAGCTGATGTAGTAAAGCATCAGTAGCCAGAACTGCAGACATTTGTAACTCCAGTTGAATACAGGGGTGAAGACAGTGTAAGGGGCACCACTCATCTCCTGTCATGATATTGTGCCCCAGCTGCAGCCTCCAAACCTGTCATAAGGGAAGCTCCACACAGAAGGTACCAAAATAGCCTCAGTTGTCACTCAGTGCATGAGTCACAGTGGTTAAGCTATCCTTGTCCAGGAAAGGCACAGTTGAAGACCATGGAGGCCACATCTATAGATATAGCTTTAGAGATTGATACAGTTCTATCAAGGGCTGTGTACAAACCATACATTTAAGCACATTTCTGCTTCAAAGACACCTTGGTTCAATATTGTACTACCTATGCCAATAACTATTGTAGACTCCACCGCCTTTCCCCAAAGATAAGTGACATAAATTAGAAATCTGGATCCTAACCAACTGCAGCAAAGTGTAAAATCAAGGTATAGTCTTTCCCTCTTTATTCTAAAAACAATATGCATTACTTCAGTACTGGAAATAGTCTTATTTAGAATGCTTTTTTCCTTCCATCACACAGGAAAAAAATAAAAATAAATGCTTCACAGTTTATTAGCACGTTAAAAGTAAGTCTGCGGTTCAGACATTATCCATAGAATTACCTAACAGTATCCGTATGCTGTTATAAAATGCATTTCCAATATGTCTGTGAATAGTACAACACTGAGAATAACATGCTTCTGTCTGTAGTTTTTAATAAATGATGTGTCTGAAAAGATTATTTTAAAAGTTTTTCTTTGACCTAAAAAATACACATGTAACAACATACAAGGACAATTTACATCGGGTTACATAATATAGAGATGATGTACAGTGGTACCTCAGGTTACAAACTTAATTTGTTCTGGAGGACCGTTCTTAACCTGAAACCGTTCTTAACCTGAGGCGTGCTTTCACTAATGGGGCCTCCCGCTGCCAACGCGCAATTTCTGTTCTCATCCTGGGGAAAAGTTCTCAACCCAAGGTACTACTGCCAGGTTAGCGGAGTTTGTAACCCGAAGTGTTTGTAACCCGAAGCGTTTGTAACCCGAGGTACCACTGTATAACCTTTTAAGTTGCTAGCCCTGGTGTGTGTGTGTGTGTGTGTGTGTGTTTTAAATGGAATGCGGTAAATAGTATTTTCTGAATTCTCAGAAACAAAAATATTTGGGACTATGCATCCAGACCAAGATTCATAGAAACTTGGAGCTGGTATAGTCCTATCTCTCCTGTTGACACTCAATGTGCTAACCCTACAACCTAAGCAATTGCCACCAATATGTCCCAATATTTCATACTTCACACATCTAAATCCTTTGCATTAATCCAATCCCGTTAAAACTGTAAAAGCCTGCAAAACTAAAACATTAAACAACAGCTGCTGCAACAACAACAATAACAGTATTTGAATTACATGTACTTTTAAGTAATTAGCTGAGGTTATTCTCAAGCAGAATTATTGGTTTATCATCTATACTGGAGAGGTAAATGAAAACTGCAAACAGTTTAACACTGTTGGGGCCTGATCCAAAACTTTTTCATGTTAATGGAGAGATTCCCATTGACTTCATTACAAGTTCGGATCCAACTCTGGCACAAGAAGAAGTGATTTCCACAGAGTTGGAAAGTTTGGGAGTTCCTGAAGTAGATCAAGTTACTAGTTCTGGCACATAAAACCTTTGCAAACTTTTTATGAAAACTGTAAGTCAAAGCACACTTTGCATTTTGCAAACTACATAGTTCCCATTCTTTGGGCACCAAGGATTACTCCAAGAGATATATATATACACAGGAAGCACCCATGTGAATTAACAAGAAGCACATGTTCCAACTATAAGAACCATCTATGACCCCCCCCCCTTTGCACCAGGTTGGGAGCTGAATAAAACAAGTTTGCAATTTCCCAATGTTTTTGATGTTTTACAAGCTGAAGCATCCCTTCACACTCACTGAGGCTGTTGAAACAAACATTCTGCTCAAATAAAGGAACGAGGATGAGCAATAAAATGCAGAAGGCAGATTTGTTATTTAGCTGCCCCTTCAGACTTCAGCAAACAATATCAAAATACTTGAATGAACCTCTTCTCTATCGGCTGATCCACTCATCAAGAAATTGCACACATTTCTACAAAAAGAGAAATGGAGAAGTGCAAGAGGGAGGAAGAAGAATCTTGCTTTCCAACACCTGCTAGAACTGAATGCAGTTTGCATCATTCTCTCCGGTTACTGTATATGCAGAACACACAACGCTGACACATTCCAGTCATAAACAAAGCACCTACTCATACAGTGATTTCAGGGGAACCTATTTTCCTAGTAAGTAACTTAGGGTCACATTCTGAGGGAAACATCCGTTCACAAGGTACCACTGCCAGTACTCCTCTCTCTCTAGTTGCCCTCAGTGTGCAACTAGAAGCCTGACAACCTGTATGACATTGCTGTAGAAACTGCACCATTGCTGGATAGGGCTGATGGGAGTCCACACCATCTGAAGGGTCATCGATTCCCCACCCTGGCTGTACAGAGAAAGGGTTTCTAGCACCAGGACCACATATTTCTATGTAGGGGCAATGGCACTCTTCCATAGGCTGGAATTCTGGATTAGGCCCCATACCTGTGTTGCCCCAAACCTGTGTGCATGAGCACACCTGAGGCTCTAAAACAGATTTCCATGCGGAAGCGCAAAGAATGACCCCGTTCTAAAGCACAGCACACCTTCAGGAGACTTTGGTGAAAGCAACTGACACTCAGCACCAGCACTGCGGAGTAAATATTGCATGTTGGGAACAGAAGGATGCAAAAGGGTCCTATAGTTTGCGACTGTTCTTTAGATTGTTTTTCTTTGGAATAAAGACACCTGCCGCCTGACGAACCCACTTGGTACCTCCATCCCTTTCCTTTCCAGAGTGATTTGCAGAAGGAAGCAGAGGGATAGGGTAAACACAAACGGGTGAAAGGGGAAGCTGTTTAATAACGGTAGTAAAATGCAGGCTATTTTTGACATCTGGGTTAATGTCCATTCTGTTCCAGATGCTTTCCAAATGTTTGCGGCAAGAGAAACTCATTAACAAAATTCTAAAGTGTCCTCTTCTGACATATTACACATGGGGCCCACATAGAAGGCAAACAACTGACGTGGAAGTAAGCGAAAGACTGGGGTAGGGGGTAGGGGAGAGATTTCTGCATTTGGGCAGTCAAGACTGAATTTAATAAACCAAGAAATGAATGATCCTTTTGTCCGTGCCTGCAGCTCCTTCACTCCTCCCTTCTCAGTGCCCTGGGATTAAACCAGGAAGTCTCTAATTAACCACAGTTTCCCATTTCATATGTACTGGGAAACTATGGTTACCAGCTTTGGAACAAGCCAGAATCATAAACCACATTTGTGGAATGCTCTCCCCAGGGAGGCTCGCCTGGCGCCCTCATTATTCAGTACATCTTTAGGTGCAAGGCAAAAACTTTCCTCTATAATAAGGCCTTTGGCCTTTAACTATCTGTGCTCTTTTTGAAGTGGACGGGATGTTTTTAATGTATTCCTTTTTCTCTTAGCATTAATGTATCTTTGTGGGGGGTGGGTTACCTGACTGTCTGTTTGGTTGTAAGTTGCTTTGAGTGGCCCTGGGCAAGA